GGAGGAAATTATCATGTGTTGCCGAGCAAATTATTTTGATTGTACTATATGGCTCCATTAGGAGAATGCATACGCGTTGTTTATTGTACAGTAACACAAGCTTCGCAAATGTATAGTGCAAGGCCCACATTGAACATATATTATGCTACAATTTGAATAATAATGATTGTATTCACAGTGTAATAGAATTACAAAATAATGAAAGAGAATGATGCAATGTATCACAATATTTCTAGGTGTGTACGAAAAAATTCAGAAATTGCATGGCTTTGTAATTACAGATATATAATGTTTTCAATTTTTAAATAACCGATGACGTTCTATATTTTACTTGTTATTCCTGGAATATTAGTTTACGATTCGTCTACCTTCTAGTGTTGCTTTCCAATGCAGTGTTAGATGCAGGGGAGTTACAGGGGACAGGACACCTACTCACAATTAAAATATGAATTATAATTAGAGTGAGAGAGAGAAAGAATAAATATTGATTCCGGGAGGGTCATATATACAGGTTATGTCTTATCTCACAATTAGTATATCTAAAGTTTCCTTTTAGGTTACATATATATGTATTATGAAATTTTTATAGGTAATTGTTATAAAACGGATTGTATTATAATATTGTTTTACTAATTTTTATTGCAATTTAAGCTACTATCATATACAACAATTTGAAATATTTTCCCCTTGTATAACAATTTTACTCGTTCTTCTGAATATATAAGCCGGTTTGAAGTTAGTACTCAATATTATCTCTTCATCTCGTTATCTTCATCCTGTATCTCAATTATCGTCTCAATTTTGAAAAATGTGTAATAATGAGAGGACTCGCATTTTAGTGCCACAGGATTCGAGGGGCCTTGAACCGGTCGTGATTCTGAGACTGAATAAACGCATTGCATAGAATAAAATACAAAATTACACACAAAATTAATTATTAGTATTCGTTATGAAGGAAAGGAAATCATTACGTAATAATTTTAAATATTTATAAGGATATATAGGGAGGATTATAAGGATATTTATAGGATATTTTATAAGGATAAAATCCTGGATTAAAAATGTTACATGAAAGCTTTTATAACCTAAAAATTAAAATCAAACAAACTTGAATTTCTGAATGTCAATGACACATTACAATTATCATGAATGAAGGACAAGATTGTATGTTTGTAGAGTTTCAAACGTCAAAGAAAAAAGGCTTAAAATTCAACTTAGGTAATCATCTAAATAACGTTTTTTTAAAATTCATTTCAACTTGCTATTACCTACCCAGCTTCCAATCATGTGAGAGAATCTGCAACCTCCGGTCGTGTCTATTGTTTTGTGAGGTAGCAATGAAACAGTTATAGCAATGAAACATTGAATATTAGTTATTCACATGTTGCGTCATGAAATGGCAACTATTTTATATTCTTGATATGTAAAGAACTGTAGTACTGTATCTAGTATACAATGCTACGTTATTATTGCAGCATTTGTAAATACTGTTTTTATTTAAATATTCAATTTATTTGCATTGTCATACGAAAGTATTTTATTGGTTGTTCTTGAGCAGTATGCTTGCTACTCTTTGAAAAACATTTTTGTGTTGTTTTGTTCAGCAGTAGTTTTGCTGCTGAAAGCCTCAAGTTGTATTTAAACTTCTTTACAAGATTATGATCTAAAGCAATGACTTTAAAAAATATTAATTTCACTGAATCACTTTATAATAGTATGATCCTAATCCTAATAATAAATGAAAAGTCTGGTCTTCTTATTCACTTTAAGTTATTTTGCATGTTCAAGTTGCAATTGTCTCTCCCATACATCTACAGTTTTGAAAAATAATACCGTGTTCATCATTCGGTACAAAAGATAACATTCCTGAAATGAAAATTAAAATATTCAGGCTTTTGAACCCATGCAATCAATCATTTGCTCCACAAGCTACATCAATCAAATTGAACAAACACTCCAAATAAATACAAACGCGTATTTGTAATTCTTCTATCTCTCACCAATTTCCCCTGTATCTTTTACAGCTATAAATCACTTCCCAAGGGTACCATCCACAAATAACCCAACCGTTCTTCGAAGGAGAGACTGTTCCTGCGTGTTTGCCCTACGCTCTATCAGTTCCCAGCGGAAGAGCTTTTCCAGTTGCAAAGCGACCCTGCGGGATCTGAAGGGGACCGCTAAATACACATTGGATCACACCTACGCTAAACTGAAGCCTGTAGATTCTGTTGTTTGTTTTCTCTTCCTGGCGATCTTTTCCATCTCGTAAAAATGTACCTGGAGAGGAGACTCGGGGCATCAACTGCTGACACTGCAGTGCCTCTGACCGGCAGGTCCTAGGTTCGACTCTCGACAGCGGCAGGATTTTCGACACTAGCTTGTCAGCTAGGTCTATTTCAGCCACAGTCTGAAGGAGAATTCTAATCTGCTCTGATTGGTAGTTTTCTGAGGTTCCTCCGATCAGTACCAGGCAAATGCCGGAGCAGTATCCTAACAAATGGGCCAAGGACCATGCGCGATCTTTCCTTACCATTCCTTGTTTTGTCCTACCTTTACTCTTATACACTTACACTTACGTGCGCTATACTAGTGCACTACCACGCATCCCGAGAGACCGGTCGGGAACATAGAGCTTGTCCCGGCTTAGGGCGGTGCCCCGCTCGTGGGAGATACCTGAATTGAATGAAAACTCCAGAAACATGTTGAACTTTTTTTCAGGGTTAATAGTAACTGCATTGCTCTAGAATGTGTAAATGTCAGCTATCATGAATTACATAATTCAAAGTACACGATTGTCAATGTTCTGAATATGTAAATTGGTATATTACCAGAGGAAATATAATGAATCCCGCTGCCTTGGCCAAACAACAGTAGGTAATTTTCTTTATTTGCGTAAAACGTTTTTTTGTCTTAACGTCGAAAGAAAGATCCGATTAGTCACAAATTTCGGAAAACACCGGCCTCGTTCCCGCCATCCCAATGTTGTTACCGTCTCAGCCAACTCCGCCCTCGCCATCACTGCTCCCGCCAACATCGCCCCCACCATCCCCACCTCCGACATCACCACCCGCGCCGTGAGCGCCTCTGCCATTACCGCCCCACCATCACCGCCTTCGCCATCACCGCTTTCGACATCACCTCACCCACCACCACCTCTGCCATCACAACCGCCATCACCGCCTCCGCCATTTCCGCCCCCACCATCACCGCCCCCACCAACAGCGCATCCGCCATCACCATTAGCATCTCCACCATAACTGCCTCCGCCATCACCGCCTCCACCATCACCGCCTCCACCATCACTGCCTCCGCCATCACTGCCTCTACTATCACCACATCGCCTCCACCATCACCCCCTCCATCACCACCTTCATCATCTCATCGCCCCCGCCAACACCACCTTCGCCATCACCGCATCCACAGTCACCACCTCCGCCATCACCGCTCCCGCCCACACTCCTCCGCCATCACCGCCTCCGCCATAGCGCCGTTCGCCGCCGCAGCCACCGGAGCCTCGAATGGAGGCGGCTCTGGTTCCGCCCTCCCTCCGCGGGACTTCCCCGCAGGGGCGCCACACTCGACTAATGACTGTCATTTGTCAGCAGCCACAGCGACCCAACTCCGTGTTGGGTCCGCACGCACCCTCACAAACACACACACACACACGGATGCGCACATAGGCACACATACGCATGAACGACCACGACAGCGCTGCCTGACAGGCCTAAAGGACGGTCACACTTGACCCAGACGCCCCTGAATGAATTGAATGGGCCAATGAGCGGAAGAGTGGGAATCGTTGGGAAGTGTTTGGGGAGTAATATGAATGTGGTTGTGCGTTCTTTTAAATAGGATTGGCGGTTTTCACAAATTGTCAGATTTTCAGTTATTTCGCATTTACTCGTTTGTATATAGGAATTGTTTTTTACATTATTACTTGAACAATTTAATTTATTTCCACATAGTAGTTCAATGGTATAATTCACTCTCCTGTATTAGTATTAACACAAAACAAGAATTACACATTTAATGACGAAAGGTAAAATGCAAAGAAATCGAAATAGTAGTAGACTCCATGGCATGACCCTTTGTTTCTTCACAATGTTATCAATTTAAATACTTGCCACCCACAGAATCCAACATCTTGCCACCCACAGAATAATAATTTCTTCGATTTATCTTTTTTAGAAGCAATTTTTGCCCGTTTCTTTAATTTTTAAAATCTGAACAGTTCTTAGCTTTATGATATGAACAAAAAATAACACAAAAAAAAACTATTATAAAAGAAGTGTTTCGATTAAGCTCCATAGATTATTCTTACTCCTAGTGTTACAGAAGAATATGTTCTTTTCCTTTACTCCATAACAAAGTTTAAAAGGAAAAAGTTTGTTAAATAAATAATTTTCGAAGAAGGACAAAATACTTGACAGAAGAAGAAAAAGACAAAGAAGACGAAGACGAAGAAAACTACGAATGAAAGTCCACATCGCTTCGTTGACCGGGAGGTCATGGGTTCGAGTCCCTAATGTGTCAGTATTTTCAACACCATTAAATAGCAAGATCGAACCCGACGAGATCCCTGACTGGATGAGAATTCTAGAGGCCAACTCCACCGAACGGGCATCTCTGTGGTTTTTCTTTTCATGGGAATTCGAACATTCTCTAAACAAAGAACCACAAACCGCACACCATTCTTTTTTCCTCACCTAGTTCTCAATCCCCTCTTTAAGCCCTTATCCTAGATGGAGAAATCAATTCCTGGAACATATCTGATAATCCGTTGAAAATATTAATTATTGTACAGTGGCGTATTAGCTGTTCGTCCGATTCCATATAATGTTTAAATTTTAAGTATTTCCTGGAGTGAATTTTATTAAAACACTTAACTTAATTCAGTTTGCTAAATATTTGCAGTAAATATCTTATAGAGGTTTGTGACATTTGTTGTTTACATTTAAACTTGAGTAATGCACTCGTTAAAATTTTTTGTGTTCTTTCAGAACTGCCACCATTTGAAGAATAAAGAATATGGACTACATCGTTTTACATTTTCGGGATGTGGATTCATCACAGCTAACGTGAGTGTTATCTTGTTGTTGAATGTTTTTTAAAGTTAAATGAGGCAAGCGTGGATTTTTTGATTTTTCTGTTCAGTTTTATTAATATTTATATTTAATGACTTAACGAGAGTTTTTCGTACATGAAAAGAGAATATTTTGTTCTGTATCAAATACCATAATTTTTAACATTAAGAACTCAAAATTCTCCGAACTAAACTACATACAATGCTCGTTCCATTTGTAATTTGAATTTTATATAACGATAGGTTTCCTTGCTGTCTAAGAATGTGGTATTTCCGAAATAAATTAAATTTTAATTTTTTATTATATTGCGCATAATATGTTGTAAATATATTTAATATATTATGCATTAAAATTTCTTGAAAGAATAGTTCAAGGAACATGTTTGTAATAAATTATAATAAGGATAAAAACCTTCTCTTAGACATTCATTATTTCTAATTCACTTTATATCTGAATATGGTTTTTATTTCCCTGCGTTCAAGAATCAAATATTTGATGAAAGCACTGCATTAATCATATTGCGAATTCTTGAGAAATGTACAACCTAATTTATGGCTTCAAATCTATGATGAATTTGAAGATATTTTATTTTGATATGAAGAAAGTATAACTCTTGTCGATTGTATACATTTTTTTCAAATGTTGAATAATCAAGATAAAATTTAAAATTTGAACAAAAACCAGGAAAACGTGTATTAGGAGTGCTTATTTTTTGTATCATTTTTTGGCATCTAAATATCACACTAAGCTTAAGTGATACATACTCTATATTCGATTCAGACCAGCTAGTGGTTCTTGGAATAAGTATACTCACACGCCTTCATTACCTACATTTCATTTGTATCAATTGTTCTTAACGCACGCCGTCTGTTAATTGGAGATTTTCGTTTCCCTGGTTGCAATAAGTCGAGATAACAACATAGTATTACGAAATAGTTATTAACATCATTATTCTGATAAACAGCTAATAACTAACAGAAACATCATCTATGATATCGGCGTGTACCGTTCAATACTTTCTGTATTGCGATTTCCTTGTAACAAATATCACGTAAATAAGAAACACAATTTCTTGGAATAGTAGTACACATACCCTATAATTAGTTACAAATAATGTGTTGATTGTTCTCAAGGGACGACGGACTTAAATCCTGAACAGAGAGAGTTTCTTTTTGTTCCTCTGGTTGCGTTAAGTCGATGTAACATTACAGTATTACGAATAACTGATTTCATAATTCTGTATTGTCGTATCGACAATAAATTCACGAAACATAGGAGTGAAAATGGGTTCTTAATGATCTGACTTCGTTAAAGATTTCATCGGACCCGGTCTAAGAAGAACAATCGAAATAATTGTGTTGTAAAGAAAAATGTAAAAGTAGTATTCCAAGATAGGGTTATTTCTTGTTCATATGCTTTTTATTTTATATTAATACCTAATAAGAAAAACACTACAAATAAAAATACTTTTTCTTAAAATAAAAGTACTTACACCCTATCTTCAGCTACAACTCGTTTGTGTTGATCGAGCCAAGAGGCTCAGGGTGTAGCGCGCTGACTTCGCATTCGGAAAGCCCGCGTCCAATACCCGTTCAGGCTATTTTGACTGGGGTTTTCGTGCTTTCCCTCGGTTAACCAGGCGAATGCTGGGATGGCCCGCGAAACCGGTGTCGCTATCCAAATTCATTTACTATGTGAAATCACGAAGGTTAAGCAAATTCGAGACTTCGCGGGTTCCTGGCTGGGTAACCGACCGGGATCTAACTGCCTTTTAATTACATATAATGGCTAAATGCAAATACAGTTATCTTGATTGTTCTAAACGGGCGGCGATCTGTAAAATTCTTAACGGACTGTAAAATCCGTAATGGATTTTCCTGTGGTCGGTTGTCTTAAACCGATTTAGCAGAAGAGTGTTACGAAAACGAGTAACCCAACTCGATCGCACGCAGACAGCGACCGCAGGCGGCCGACACACTCCGCTTCCTCCTTCCCAGACGGCCGGGTCGCTGCTGCAGGGGCGGTGCCTGGCGGCGGGCGGCCGTATCGGCAGCCGCATCGCGGGCGCGCCACAAGGGGTCGTCCCAGCCCGCGTGCCCGCCCGCTTTCCCGCCCGCCGGCCCTTACAATCCCACGTAACGAACCCTCGCCACCCACACACACCTCCGGCGCCGACTGATTGGAGACGATTCTTTCGCTTCATTACACCGCCCAACGGTCACTGTGCTAATCACGCGAGCCACAACGCGGCCGCGTACAAAGACGGCGATGCTAATGATAGGATTATGGCTGGGACGTCGAAATTAATGATGGCGCCGATGGGCGAATAATGAGAGACGTCAGGTTATTTAGAAGGTTTTGTGTGGGGAGTATGTAGTGACGATAGGTTTTCGTGTTTGATGGTTGGATTGTGTGTTTTTCGCTACACTTGGTGGTTTTATAACGATGTTTCATTCAATTATGTTGTCGACTGAAAACTTTTTATTTATGCACTCCAATATATTTTAAATCAATTTTTCTATGGAACCACATGGACAATATATTTGTTTTTAGCTGCTACTTTATGTTTGTAGGTAGAGCAATGAATCTTTAATATCATGGACAATCAGTAGAGTACCTTTTAGTTTAAAGAACCCAAAAATACCGTGGGATTTTGTGCAAAATTATTTTATTTCTTAGTATAACAAAGAATATTGAATATCATTATCAAACAGTAGAATAGCTTTCAGTATAAATAACGCAAAAATGACCTCCTATTTTGCGCAAAATTATCAGCATTTCCAAGAGTGTTGCTACGGGGTTATGGATCTGAGAAAGCGCGGCAAATGGTTTCGTTCACAGTATGTTTGAGTCACTTCACGAGGAGCGTAGAGTCACATACAATAGACTCTCGTCTTAGAATGTATCTTCGATCATTATCATTCGATGTATAAGAGTTGGTCGATGAGAGCCTTACTCACTGTACTAACACTTTGCAATTCCAACGAAGTGGTTAAAATTCCTGTGAATAATTGAGTCGAATGTCCGAAACGCGCTATCCACTGATTAGATGAGTTTCCGAGTACCCCTCAATGTTGCAAGAACGCGAGTACGAAAGAAGAACAATACCGTATATCAGGGATTGGTAATTCGTTGATTTTGACGCATTATTGTCCAATCATGCATTGACTAAGTGACGCATGATTTATTTTTGGAGACAGCAGGGATTTTCAAATGGTATTTGAACCCATATTGTGCATCAGCATTACGAGACTGGATTCAAATGTGGATTTTTGGTAATGCGGCTCATGAACCTGAAGAAATTGATAAATTAAAATACACTGGAATATGAGATAGTAAATATATGATGGTATTGTATAATATTCGCTTGTTGAATCCTGTTAAAATAAATCATGAATCGACAATTCGGTGTGATTGTTATTTGCAAAGAAAATGTTGTCTGATAAAGAGAATTATGTCTGGTGAGGTAATACAAATAACAGCTGAAAGTAATAATGGTTGAAAATATTATTCGTCGACTAATTAAATTTTGCAATGATAACTTCACGTTGTATAAACCCATTACTGAATAAATTAGACATGTTATAAGCAAATGTTTCATTCAACGACATAATACAAATTGCAGAGAACATGTAGTTTAATAATAAGAAAAGCTTGGCGAGTTTCAATGTGAAAGAACTTTTTGGCATAGTGATTTCATCTTAAATTCTCCCTTATAATTGGGACCGTATTCTTCTCTCGACAACACTTAAAGACAAAATATTAAATTGTTTGTGATTCAGATTTCCTACAACTTATCGATTGCTAAAACCTCAAATTATTACTAATTTTTAACACATAAACGAGACAAGTTGGAACTGAGAATTCTGTTAAAATTCTAATTCTGTAATACCGTTACTTTTTAATTTTTTGCACGAATAGAAGTATCTTTATAGACAATTTTTGCACACTGTTACACTTGTTTAGGTGAGTAAATGAGCAGTGAGAACTAAAATAATTTAATTAACAAAATATTTAAATAGAAACATAAACACATGTTTTTTCTTGCGTCTTTGTTGCTTTGCTTGTTCTGAGAGTGTTCTAAATTCGTCGATATAGAATTTTCACACACAAATCTACGGAATTAAGATCAAGAGTTCTATTCACATACCAGAAAAGAAAAATTTGACGAACAATTTATTCTTCAAAATGAAGGAGAACAATGCATTAAGTCGTAAATATTTATTGTACAAATCATGCGGCCTTTATAAGGATTTTTAACGGAGAATAGTTTGAAAACTAGTTCGTATAAAAATATCAATGACTAAAATATCAATGAACGTCCGAGGTTTCTACGGAATTCAATTGAAACTATTTTTTTGCTTATTCACAATGGACAATATGGACAGACTCACAAAAAGACTTTCAGATTCTACAGCACCCTAGTTCTAAATTCGTAATGTTGGGTAGAATTATTTTAATTGTAGAGTGAAATCTTGTTAAAGGTCTTGATAAAGAATCCGATGACGGATTGATAAATAACACAACTTGTGCGATTATCATTTTGCTCTAGAAAATTATTTTCAATCCTATATTTTTCTTTCATTCTGAAGATAAAGAATAATTGGGGGTTTATTCATATTATATGTAAATTAATTTACGAGATCGAAGATAACGAACTCCAAGTAAGTTTGAGTTTGAATTAGGAAAATCTAACTCATCTCAAGAGTACAGTTCGTAAATATTGACACCGTTTTATGACGGTGGAAATTGTGACACGTGGATTTTACACATTATCTTTCAAACTATATTTTCTAGCTTGCATTGAAAAAAACAAACAAAAATTGGACAGTAACTCATGACAAGTTTGTTTGTGAAGTTAACACAACGAATAAAAGCTCGCGAAAACTAAATTTTACTCGCAAAAAAATTGTGATTTTTAGATTCAAAATTTGCTCAGAATCCTTTCACTAAGAAGTGGACAGGAAAAAACAAGTCCTGTGGAATACGTTAGTCCAAGTTAATACTTTATTTGGTAGATAGAAGTT